AAAGAGAATTTGACACAAACTGAAGAATGTAATGTCACTGAACATTACGTGTAGAAATTGTTGAGCAGGAACCTGTTTTGCTGTGTATACTTTCACCAAAAATACAATAAAATTTAAAAAAAAAATCATTAGTGGATGCTAAAATCTAGAGGAGTAAGTTTGATGAGGAATAGGATATTTGCATGGTCTCAAAGTGTCTCTCCACAGATTGCTTATTAGCTGCAAGGGACAAAAATAGGAACCACCCAGGGGAGAATCCAGACAACACCTTGACCAAGTGAAAAAAATTACATAATGGACAAGGGACAGATGGGTGTTATGGGCTTCCAGATGTGATACCCTGGGAAGAATACAGCGTTACTTATGCTGTATTCCAGTCAGGGATGGAAAATCTGAAACTAATCACGAGGCAACTGAGACATACCCAATTTGTGGAACATTCTATAAAAAACTGGCCTGTTTTTTTCAAAAATATCAGTGTTGTGAAAGACAAAGAAAGGCTGAGAAACTGTTCCAGAATAAAAGAGACTAAAGAGACTTGTCAGCTAAATGCACTCTGTCTCCTGGACTGGATCCTGTACTGGAGAACAAAATTCTACAAAAGACATTTGAGTCAGTTGACAAAATTGGAATATTGGAATTCTATCAGTGTTAACTTGAATTTGACAACTGTACCATGAAAGAGAATATCTTTGTTCTTAGGGAATACACACTAAGTATGGGGTAAGGAGTTCTTGGGTAATGCAAATGGATGCTAACTGAAAGATTAGAGGTTCAGTTCCACTCAGAGGCACCTTGGAAGAAAGGCCTGGTGATCTACTTCTGAAAAATCAGCCATTGAAAACCCAATGAAGCACAATTCTATTCTTACACACATGGGGTCGCCATGAGTTAGTCAATTTGACGACAGCTGGCTTTTATAGGGAGTGAAGGTGCATGATCTATATAGCCTACTCTAAATTGTTTCAGGAAAAAAATTATAATATGTGTACAAATACAGAGAGAGAGGATAAGCAGACAACTAAACAAAAATGAGAATGAGAATGGACAAAAGGTATGTGGGAATTCTCTTTACTATCCCTGTAAAGATGAAAAGAACACATCTGAATGAAGGCCTGTCAGAGATTCGCAGATAGTGAGGTTGGACCTTCTAAGTCCTCTTTTTCCAGGCCCAGGAGGAGTATAGCGCACCATGGTTAAGGACCAGTGCTATGAGACCTGCCCCATGATGGAGGACGGGGTGGCGAGGCGGGAGTCAGGAAAACGTTCCATGAAGAATTTACCTTGAAGTTAAGACCTCAAACTTTAGTAGGAGTTAGCTAAGTGAAGCAGACAGGGGTCATGGAGGGCATTCCTGGAGGAGGAAACAGCCTGTAGAAAGGCTGGAGGATAGAAATCCAGAGAGTCAACAAGGCAAAATAAAGCAGGGCCACAAGGTACAGGACAGTGAATTCTGGGCTTCACCTAAGAACACAGGCCAGTGGTTGCAGAGTTGATTTTCTGGCTGGAGAGTGACATGATCAGATGTGTGACTTCAAGGAAAACCTTATATGCTTCACACATGTGTTGCTCCTAAGTTGTCCTCGTTCCATGCACCCCTGGAGCTGGGCCTCTAGATTGAGGGATTATTTGGGGCCCACAATTTTCTATCCTTGCTTTCTGCCCAGTAGGCAGAAAACGGACTTTTTACAGCTACATGGTGGTGCCCTTCTTTTGGTGACTGAGAGTTGGATCTCTGTGTTCAACCTCTTATTAGTGTGATTATCTTCTTGAGTCCTGAGCTGCCCCAAGTCAACATCACTGTGCCATCTCTGTGAGATATTAGAAAGGTTTCTAAGGCCAGGATAAGCAGCATGAATCGAGAGAGAGAGAGATAGAGATAGAGAAGCTTCCCTCCTTCTGCTTACGTTGCTGTCACTCAGGGACAATGCCAGAAGGGGTTGGAGTGAGGGAAGGAGAGAGAAGGGAGGGAGAAAGGGAGGAGAGAGAAGAGCTCTCTCTCCCTAGAGAGAGAAACAGGATGAGCAAAAGACGATTGGAGAGAAAGAGGGAGAGAAGAGAGAGGAAAAGATTTCCCATTAGAGGTGAAAAGAGCTGATAGCAGCTTATGTTCTGCCATCTCTGTAAACAACTGCCTCGAAAAACAACCAGGAAATTTGGACAACATGTAGGACTGTACTTTCTTTCCGTTGATGACCTATTACCATGTGTGACTTTGGGTAAGTCATTTACCTTTTGGGTAGTCTGTTTATCTCTCTTCCCATTGGCAGAACTGCCAACTGCCATGGACGTTAGGTACATAGATGCATGGGTTGTTGAAACCGTTCAGAAGAGGTTTTCTGAAAAGTAATGAGCTTGATGCCACTATTTGTATTTAAAAAGTGCGTTGATGCTCTCCGATCACTAACTTGTCATCATGTGTGCAAATAGTTTATTGCATTAGTGGGATGAAGAATGTCTTGAATGCTCTGGGATAAATAAATTATCACTGGCACTTGGTGATGCTGATTTTAATCAAAGTTGAGGACTTTGGGGACAAGTGCCTTTGCTCTTTGGCTATTTGTAAGTAAAGGAGAAGTAATTAAATTACATAAATTTGGAAACTTCAAGGCCCTAGGCTTGTTTTGCGTTTTTATTAAGCACTTGTTTTGAGTTTGGGCCCAGTCATTTAATTTATCTCTTCTCATGTATGTACTCTTTACAACTGTTATAAATAAACTCCACCCCACTGACTTATTTTGAATGTTGTAAAAATGGTAGTATTAGGCTTGTAGGAACTGTGATATTTGTATTCGAGAAGCACCTGGCTGTGGTTTAGGTGACAGATCATGAAAAGAGCTAGTGATTAGGGGAATAATTAGGCCAAGTTCTTTGGTTCCATTTATCCAGATGGCATATAGAGAATCTTTAAAATTTCCCAAATAGCTTCTTAAGATCACAGTTATCCATCCTTCACTGTAATTAGGACTAATGACCTAATGCCAAACTGGGTATTGATCAGAATCCAATGACTTATGACTTTGACTATCATGAGTATCCAACTGGAAAACACCTTGAATGGCGTTGATCTCAAAAGCCATGTGTTTATTCTAAAATGTAGACTATCAAAATCCAAGGTCAGAGGTCATGCCTGCCATAATTTCCTGTATAGGAAGGAGTGCCATTTCATTTGTCAAAGGTCTTCCTTTCTTTTATCTTCAGTATGCACATCTATATTTATAAATGAAAGAAGGACTGTGCCTCAGAATAGTCAGTAAAATCTTCATTCATTGAAATGTTCAGAATACTCACTCCTTAGTACTATTTAGCAAGTATTTATTGAGTGCCTGCTATGTGTAAGGTACTATGTTAAGCTCTGGGGTTACGGTGGCTAACAAAGCAGATAAAAATCCCCCTTTTGTGGAGTTTACATGCTAGTAATATATTCTGGCTACTGTATTTTCTGGTGAACTGAAGAACAAATATCCATGAGTCATCCCATTCATTGAGCATCCCTTATATGCTTTTTAAAGGCTTTAAGAGACCTTTTGGGGGGCATTGGTAGCTTAGAGGTAGAATTCTTGCCTTCCATGCAGAAGACCTGGGTTTGATTCCTGGCCGGTGCATCTCAAGTGCAGCCACCACCTATCTGTCAGTGGAGGCTTCCATGTTGCTAAAACGTTGGCAGTTCAAATCCACCAGCTGTTCCTTGGAAACCCTATGGAGAAGTTCTACTCTGTCCTGCAGGGTCGCTATGAGTCGGAACTGACTTGTCGGCACCTAACAACAATAACCATTTATAGGGAGTCCCTGGGTGGTGCAAACAATTAAAGTGCTCAGCTGCTAACCGAAAGGTTGGAAATCCGAATTCACTGAGACGCTCCTTGGAAGAAAGGCCTAGCGATCTACTTCTGAAAAATCAGCCATTGAACACCCTATGGAGTACAGTTCTCTACTCTGACACACATGGAGTTGATGCTGGCAATTAGTGTTTACTATTTATAGAACACTTACTGTCTAAGCATTTCACTGGCATCATATCATCTAATTCTTATAGCTCCTCCTGTGAAGTAGGTAGTATTAGCTCAATTTTATAGATTGGGAAACTGTGGCTGAGAGGTTGAATGACATGCCCAAGATCACACAGCCAAGAAGCTGTAGAGCTGGGATTCAAACTTGGGTGTCTTTGTCCCCAAAGCCAGTACTCTCATCACCATACACACTGCCTTTCTTGTGTCATTGCATTCTCAAACCCAACCTTTCCATAGATATCTTGGGCTGTGTTTTGCCAGGAATTCCTCCATACACATGACAAAATACATTCCCCATGAAAAGATGGGCCTTTCTTCCCTGATGTTAACCTTTGATTCCCAGTTAATTCAATATAACTTTTTTGTCACTTCTCTGAGTAGCTAGGTACTATTTATGACTCTAAGTGTCTGTGTTCCAGACTAATTTGGACTTCCTCCATGACCTTGGACAAGCCATTTTTAAGGCTCACTGTCTCATTTTCCCCATTTGCTACCACATTAGGAATGGAATTTGGACAAACAAGAGCAGTATTAATATTTCTGGCTACAGATGGAGTGAGATGCTGTCATTTGTGGGTTTTGTCCCCAGGAGCTGAGTTTTAGCTGAACTGATCCTCTCTGAACTGTTCTGTCTCCTGTGGGGAGGTTGTGGTTGGATTTATGTTTCTAAGGGCCTGAAGCATGATCACAGCTCACTCTATTTCCCAGTCTCTTATGCTTTCCATGATGCCCCATCACTCCAAGACTGTCGTCAATGCAGTTGTCTCTGTTTTAGATGATGACATCCTTGCCCCAGCTGTCCCGGGAGGACAGCAGCGTGATGAGTAAGTCCTGAAGCTTGCTAGATGTGTCTCAGTGTTTCACATGCCTGCATTGATTGGATAAATCCCAATGTGGGCCTTAGGACCTGGGTGGCCTCAAGTGTCCTGAACATCACTATTCAAACTGTCTGGTGATTATTTATTTTTCTGACTTGTGTTTCCTTTTCAGCAAATGAAAAGATTGAAGACATCAATGGCTGTCCAAAGAACAGATCGCAAATGGTAAGTGGTACACAGGGAGTGAATGTTTGTGTTCTCTTAGTAAACCCTGCCTCTAAGTGACATTGACCATTTTGAAAACTTTCACACCAAAAGCTTTACTCCAGGGGATTACATTAATAAACTAACAGCCGTTTCCAAGTAGCCGTAGTTTACTTCTCTGACTTTTTTTGGTATTTATTGAAAAATGGCTGTGACTTTTACATAGATTGTAAGACGGCAAAAATGAAGTATCGTCCTTGCTATTAGAAACAAATTATGTAGAGCTACTGCAAACATACAGTTGTTTACGACTTACTGTTGTGACTCGTTCTGCCTTCTCCAAGACCCACAATAACTCCTCTGTCTGTGTGTGGTGCTGAGACACGGATGAAGTGATGATATTTTACTCATCAGAAATTAGAACATGTGGTCTGATTGCCTTTAAAGATTAGAATGATGTGGAATGAGAACTGTGACAGGAAACGTGAAACCTGCAGTCAAATCCAGACCATTCTCAACAAAACCTTGACAAGTGGTGTTTTGTCTGATGGGATGCTTTTAAACGATGATAGTAAAGCTCTTTAAAAAATAATAATAAAATTGATGTTTTTAATCTGTTCTTGTTGCATGTCCTGCACATATCTTTGAATTAAAATTCATCATCATTGTAGAGTTTGGAAAACATTGACCATAAGGCTCTCTGCACTTAGCTTTTCATTTCAAAACACTTCTCAAACATGAATAAGTACATAAAGAATGTGTATTTTCAGTCTTATTAAGATGATACTAATACCTGTTTAAAATACAAAGGAACAACTCAAGGGCTTCTTTTCTTGCTGGACATTTGCTTCCAGAAGTCTTAAAAAAAAAGGTATAACTTGTCTCTCTAACTCCCCAAGCCCTCCGGAGTAGGCACAATTTGATATCTTTCATTCCAGAATACACCAAAGTGATTGGCATTCCTTGGGCTTCCTGTTTAATTTTCTGACTCGTTTAGCCCAATGAGTTGGTCACATAGGCAGCCTTTTCAGTTAACTTTTTTTCACACACAAAAACCTTTTTACTATAAAGAGGTAGGAGGGTGGCAGTCATTTTCTAGTTTACATTCTGTAATGAGTTTCTCTTTTTTGTTGGTTTGTTCCACAGGAGGTTTTGTTTTCATTTTGTTTGATCCAGACACCAGCCACTCCTTACATAGGAAAGTCCCCAGGCAGACCTCTTGTAGCTGCTTTGACTTTTAGTAGAGCTTGGTTGCTATTTTTACTAGAGCTACTGCAGCTGTGCAGTGTATTAATAATTGAGAAAATTTGGACGATAAGAGACTTAATTTTAGTGCAAGCATTTTACACATGCAATCATATCTTCACATGAAAGAGATGTATTATTTCCCTCTGGGATAGATACAGATGCATTTGCCCCAGACCATTATAATGCATATAGACCCGATATTTGAAGGTGTTGAACACTTTATTCTCTTTGGTGTATTTGTATTTTCTGCACCCTCTCCCTCTGTTGGGGGTGTTGCTTGTTGTTAAAGTCTGTTTTAAAGCTATAATTCTGTCACCTCAGATTTTTCTGTGCAAATTTAGTTCCATATGCAACTATGTTATTTTGTGGTTTCTCCATAACTCTTTGAGCTGGGGAAGTATTGTTTGTTCATCGACTGTGTTTTTTAAAACGCAGAAATATAAAATCCTATAATTGTGATAATTAGTTCCAGCTTAGGGGTGGGGAGGTAGACATGGTCTTGTGGCAAATTTAGCAGAGAATAGTTCAACATACAGGATGTGAGGCCAGGGAAACGTAAGAACGTCTACCACAGTCATTCTGTTCTGTAGGAAATGAGAAAGATGATAAGGACCACAGAACCATTGTCCTTTTTCCTAAGTCACAAAACAATGATAAAATTCCTAAGGCAGAACTCACCATAGTCACATAGGAAGTCCTTATAGACATATATGAATGTCATTCTAGCTAATAGTACACATGTGTGTCTGTGTGTGCACACGTGCATGCGGGTGTATACAGAATTAAAGCAGTTCTACTCATGGGAAGTGTAATCTGGGGAATATGGCATAGTGATGAACTATCAATTCTAGACTTCTAGAAAGTTAACCTCCCAGTTAGGCTTTACTTGGGGCATCTGTTGACAAAGATTACTTACTGTTGTTTGCCAAATAGTGCTTGTTTGGAGGAGACTAGCGGGAAAGGTATATGGAGAACATTGCATTGATACAAGGAAGACGACACACAATGAAATGAGAACTTGGGAACTGTATCTTATTGAGAGGATAACTCTGACTCCCCTGAAAATAATCAGCACAGGGTTAGTGTGCCTATTCCCTAAGAAAATGAATATAGCAAGCATTCATCTTAGGAGGCCTTTAATAATAGAGCCAAAGAAAAGTAATTTTGTTTCAGAGCAGGAGTAGGATGCATGCTATTATGGTTTTCAAAGAACAGATTCACTTCACCAGCTCATCAGTAGATGGGAAAGTGAGCTTTGTGGGAGTCACCATAAGGAGCAAGCACTGGAGGAGCAGCATATCTTTCTCCCACCCCTTCATTACCCTCCTCCTGACGCACAAGAGCTGCGTTCTCCACTCCCTGTGCTCCAGGCTCTGTTGCAAGTCCTGCTGTCTTCCCAGAGGATGCGGAAGTGAACTCAGACCCTGGTGGAATATGGACTAGAGAATTCCAGGGGCAGTGAAGCATATACGGTATGGTTATGGCATTGCATGCTTTTAGCCAGTCAGTCAGCAAGCATTCACGTGCTTACTAATGCCAGGCACTGGGCTATGCCAAGTGAATATACAGGTGACCAAGATGTGATTCTTGACCTCGAGGAACTCAGAGATAAGTGGGCAAGACATCAGAGAACAATTAGAGCAATAAAACATTCAAACTGCTATAACAAACATCTTGGCAGTGTATACTGTGGGCCATTCCACTCCCAGGGCAAGGGAAGGCTTAAGAATAATTTATGAAGGGTGAATCTTGAAAGGCAAGAGGGTTTACTAAGGGGGAACAATGGGTGGGAGAGGATTCCAAGCTGAGACAGCCGAGGCCTCAAACTCATTACTAGAGAATCTGTTTACCTGAGGATGTCATGGACCCTACAAAAGAAGACTTTGCAAACATTTATTCATTGATCCTACTGAATTGCTGTGAGCCGAGTCTGGTGAGTCTCTTCTGGCCTCTAAGCAATGTCATCCATTTGTCCTGTTGTGCCTGGGGATGGGAGGTCATGGAAGAACAGCCCGGAGTATGGCAGACTTCATAGCCGTGGAGGCCTTTTCATACCTGGAACAAGTCTCTGCATTCGTCATCACTCCCCAGGTGCTTCATCTTGGGAGCCACCCCCAATGGACCCCAGATCAAACTTTTGTAAAGAAAAATACACGTGGTCTTTAAACGCAGAAGAAAACATTCTTTGATGGTTAGGAGGGTGGGGAGGGAGGGTGAGGGTTATTTACTAACTTGATAGTAGATAAGAATTATCTTAAGTGAAAGGAATGACAGCACACATTACAGGGAAGTCAGCACAACTGGACTAAACCAAAGCTAAGAAGTTTCCTGAATACAAACACTTTGAGGGACAGAGTAGCAGGGGTAGGGGTCTGGGGACCATGCTCTCAGGGGACATCTATGTCAATTGGCATAACAAAGTTTATTAAGAAAATGTTCTGCATCCTA